AAAAATAATAATAATAATAATAATAAAGATCAAGCCGAAATTAAAAAATATATATATATAGCTCTGGCCTTCGAGTGGAGGTGGCAGCGCCGCCGTGCCGGGTCGGTGCCGCCGCGGTGGCCGCGGGCTCAGAAGCCGTTGCCGCTGATGTTGATGGACTGCAGGTCGGCCACCTGCATGACGTTGATGCCRCTGCTGGCCAGGCGGGCGATGCCCTCGGGGCAGATGGCCTCCATGGCCACCATGTTGGTGGCGATCAGGGCCGAGGGCGTGCTGCTGCCGTTGCCCTCGGCCGCGGCCGCCGCGTCCATGGGGACGGCCGAGACGTTCATGGCCACGCTGGCGGCGCCTCCCTTCTTGTTCTGGTGGGTCTTGATGTGCTTGGAGAGGTGGTCGCTGCGCATGAAGCGTTTGGGACACTCGGGGCAGGCGAATTTCTTCTCTCCTGGTGGGGGGAAAAAGGGGATTTGGGGGTGAGGGGTGATGGGGAATGGGGTGGAGCGGGGAGGTTGAGATTGGTGGGATTTGGGATTTTTTTGATCTTCCTCCCCTTGAGAACGGTCAGRCCCTGGAGAGGTTTCCCAGGGACAGGTCTCATCATCAAGAGCTCAAATCCAGTGTGTCGGGATTTTGGGAAAAATGATCAGGTCTTGGGAGGTCTCAGCCCTGAGAACTCGAGAACAACATTCCAGCATCTTGGGATTGTGGGAAAAGGGTCCGCTGGAAAGACTCCCTTGGGATGTGGTCTCAGCCCCAAGATCTCAAGGATAACAACTCAAAATGTTGGATTTTGGGCAAAGCTTGGTATTTTAGGCACAGATCCCTCCCCTTTCCCAACTGAACCCCGAGAGCTCAGTGCCAGCGCCCCAGCACGCCGGGATTCGGTGATTTTGGCGATCCCCGAGGCTGCCCCGTGCAGCAGCGCCGCAATCCGTGCTGTGAGTGCCAGGATCCCCACCTGTGTGCGTGCGCTTGTGCCGCTGCAGCTCGTCGGAGCGGGTGAAGCGCTTCCCGCACAGCACCCAGGTGCAGATGAAGGGTCGCTCSCCCGTGTGCCACCTCAGGTGCGCCCGCAGGTGMGAGGTCTTCCCGTACACCTTTCCACAGCCCGGGATGTGGCAGATGTGCTGCTTCTTCTTCCCTGGATCCCCAGAGCTCCTGCCAGGAGGGGGGAGTTAAACAGAGGGGATTCATGTGTGGGGGGTTGAGGATGGGATTGGTGGGGATGGGTCGGACCCCGGGATTAGGATTCAGTCCCAGGGGCTGTCCTTGGGTCACAACAGCCCCAGGGAACACTTCAGGTGTGAGGAATTGGGGCTGGAAAGTTGGGAAAGGTCTTGGGGTGCCCATGTGGAAATGCTGAGGTGGCCCTTGGGGACATGGAGTAAAGATGTAAGACCTTGCCAGCACTGAGATTAGCTCACCCTCAAAGGGACCCCTCCCCATCTGAGTAATTTCTCACAACGAGAAACTTTGGAGGTGTTGGACACAGGTGGACACACGGATGTGGCCCTTGGGGACACGGAGCAGTGGCACCACTGGCACTGTGACGCTCAGAGGGATTTCCCACCCCAACAACCCCACAGAACGCGGATCCTCGGGGAGCAGCCTCACCTGCCCTCTCCTTCCTTGCAGTAGGGACAGGTACAGGCCTCCCTGCGTGTTTTCCGGCCCTGCTGGGGCTGGGGGTCGGGGCTGGTCTCTCCCTCCTCCACGGCCACGCTCTCGTCGCCCAGCCCGTCCCCGCTGCCGCCGTGCAGCCCCAGCTGGGTGCCGTGCTCACCTGCAATGGAACACAGCAGGTCATGGCCAAGTCCTCCCCTCCACAGGAGGCTCCCACTCCTCGATGGAGCTGTTAATCCCACTCTTTTCCTGATATTCCCCACCCCGGGGCTCTCCCTGYCCTCCCATCCCTGCATTTCCCGCATTTCCCCCATTTTGGTCCAAGTCTGTATTTTCAGGAGAGAGGTGAGAGCTGCATCTCACCCAAGAAACAGCCCCCTGCCAACTACTRCAGCTATTCCAGAAAAATTCCAGCCCAATTCCAGCCAGAGATGCACCAGGATAAATAAAGCGGGTGGTTGTCCACCAGGAATGGATCCCTGGGTTTCATGAAGGACAGAAGCCACCAAAAACAGATTYCTGGGGTTCAGAGAAGGACAAAAATCATCAGGAATGGGTCCCTGCAGCTCAGGGAGGGACAAAACCCACCAGGAACAGGATCTGGCCACTCAGGAAGGGACAGGAGGAGAAAATTGTCCCCTCCAAAGGTGACAGGATTTGAAGCCTGGCCCGGAGGCAGCAGCTGAGCCCTCACAGCCCCATTCCCGCGCTCCCAACCACGAAATTGAGGAATTTCAGGATGATCCCAGTCCCTCCCCGCAGCTCCTGTGACGTGTCTGTGGTCACAGCCCAGCATGGAGCGAAGCAGGGAGGGGATTTTAAGCTCCCTAAGCCAGAGCCAACAGCTTTGTGCTCCAGCCWTGGATTAGAGATTTCCCCGGATGGGAAGAGCTACTGGAAAAAAAATCCCAAAAAAACAGGAGGAAACACAACTTCTCTCCCCACCAAAAAAACCCTAAACCAGGAAAAAACACAAAAATGAACCAAAAAATGAACCAAACCAGGAGAAAACACAAATTCTCTCCCCAAAAAGACACCAGGGATGGGGAGAATCCCACCAGGATGCCTTGGAATGGCTTCAATCCTCCAAGAGGCAAAAGCCCACGTGGCACGGGCGGAAATAAAACCCCAAATCCTGGAAATGTGTGACTGGTTTAAATCCAGGTTTAAATCCTGGACCTRCTGGGATCATCCCACCCCAACCAGGAGCTCTGGGGTACAACAGGTTCAGGAGAAAAGTGGGTAGAGAGGATAATTCCCCTTTGTGATCCCCATAAACGCACGTCCAAGCTAAGATAAAGCTTCCCTGCAGAAATGGATTATTAATAGAGCAAGAGGGGGGGTTAATCCTTGGAAAAGCCCAGCAAGAAAGAGGGATTTGGGGAAGGCAGGAGAAAGAAGCTGATCCTGCTCCACCAGCATCCTCTGAGACCCCCCAAAAATGGGGCACCGGCGGTGTGCCACTAAAAACCCCAAACTCTGGAATTTTGGCTTGGAAATTCTCTGCAGACAAGGTGTTCCTTGTGCAGGGACAAGCACGAGGGGTTGTTTGCTTTATTTAGCAACCCGACAGGAGGTGAGAAACGAGGAGAGAGGAGCTCTCACATCCACTGGGGCAGGAAAACAGACCCCACGTTCATTTGGAAGGGAAGGGCTGGAAATAAAACCCAAACCCAACAAACCAGGGCTGCCTGTGCAAACAGGGCAGCTGGGCCCGGGCAGAGGCAGCAGAGCTGGCACCAGGAACGAGGAAATTTTAAGGTGAAAAGGAAATCAAAAGTCAGGGACAYGCAGCCCCAGCTTCTCAGGGCATGTTCCAGAAATAACCCCTCCCCAAATCCACATTTTCCAGCTCACAACTCGAGTTCCCCCCCATCTCCTGCCCCGTTTTTGGGGTCACCGCCCTGCCCAGAACAGACCCCAGGTGCGTCACAGAGCTGTGTGAAGAGACCAAGTGGATCTGGAGTGACGTCCCCTCGGTTTTTTCCATCATCTGATCCCCTCCCTGATTTGCAAAATGAGTTAATCTGCACCAGGAGCTCATCCGTGTCACTGAGCCAAGCTCTGGCTCAGCAATTCCTTGGAGATCAGAGAGGGAAGCAGGGGTTGGGGCAGGCTGGGAGCCTGCAGCCCATCAGGAATTGGCTCTAATGAGGGCTCTGATGGCTCCAGGAGCCGCTCCTTGGGCTGCTCCTGTAACTGCCGGAGGTTTCTGTTCTCAGGATGAGCAGACACTTCCTTTGGAGAGGGAACAAACCGGGATAGAGCCCATGGGATGAGTGAGATGGGCTGTGAAGAGGGTTAG